ATTAATTAATTAATTTGTTAATTGCAATCTTTTATGGCTCTGTATGTTTTCTGTAGGGATAAAAAATAAGTATTACTTCAGATATATTTTTAGTATACTATGTACTTTCCACATATCTTGCTGCTTTCCTTCAAAAAGTAAAGCCTATTTGAAGCACATTACAAGCTGTATTGCCTACAGACTTCTCAGGTATGCTTTATGGCAAGCCAAGATGTTTTAACAATGGCATTACTGCAATCAACATCTGATAAATAAAGGTATGACTATTTTCCTCCAGCTGTTCTCTTTGATATTTAATTGTCCTAAGCTGGTACCTCCTTTTCAAAGTCTGTGGAAACACAGGCACAGACGAGTTTGTGAGAAATAATGAGAAAAGGGCTGTTTCTGGTCTAGTGTATCTTATGTGAACAGTGAGGAACCTTACTCTTTCCACTCAAGACTAGGGTGTGGAAAGGAGCAGTCTGAATCCTTTGCAGTATTTAACATGAATATGTTTTTACACAATGACTCCTATAAATGTCTGTTACTGAATAGTCATAGATTCAAAGGCAGCCACAATATTATGTAATCTGTTGGTGATGCATCCTTCTCTGCTTAGTAATTGGATTGTTGTCTTGCGTTTGTGGCACAAAAGAAATTAATAAAGAAATTTTAAGAATTAAATATATGGAACTTTTTAAAGCCATTAAGGATTTTATACATCAATGATGTCTTTTAAGCCAACAAAATTATAAATCTGATTGTTTCTATGTGGTAACTCTACATTCAAAGAATGAAGGTACAGTTTAGGCTTCTCCTTGCAATTTTTTTTTTTTTTTAAAACCAAACATGTTTCTGGTGTTTTATAAACTTGCATTGCAAATGCAGTTGCACGTTCCAAACATCTTTTATTTTACAGCCTAGAAATACTCATGTCTAAATGGTATATAAATCAAGACAGGTTTCCTATAGAAAAAGCTTAAACAGGTTGCTCTTTGCTGTCCTTTTAAAAAGAAGAGCTCATATTTCTAGGATATGAAATAAAATAAATCCCCAAAAGACAAATAAGTATCAGCTATGTCTTCTTAAGAAACTTGCTTCTTACCCAAGATTATGCATATGTACAATTTAGCTATAATAAATAATAATAAAAACTGAAAGACTATATAACTCTTAGAGTTCTTCTGTATATCGGGGTTTGAAATATACTTACACTTAAAACCCTCCTTATGTCTTCAAATTTCAGATTGTTCATTCTACCCTGCCCTTTTCTTACTGTTTTGTTACAGGATACAATACAATGACAAATGATAATAAGAATTTTCAAGTTTAAATAAAGCCAAACAAAAAAGCTCTTCAGAAATGAAATCAGCTTTATTTGTTAAAATAGTTGTACTATGTACAAAGGAAATTACTATAATTTACAATACTTAAGGCATAGAACATTGGGGGTTTTTTTGCTTCCACTGGAAGAACAGTATTTTAGAACTAAAGAATCGTTGGGATCAGACATTGATAGAAGTAATAAAATAATAAAATAATAATAAATACTTCACATTCATATAATATGAATTTATAATAATCCAAGCATTTCAGCATTAACTAATACATCTTAATCTGCCTCCAACATGTAGGTAGAAGTATCTTCTGTAGCTCACAGAAGAAAAAAAGTTATATGACTCATGGTGAGGGTTACATCAACCCTAAGATATTTCCCTTTGTCCAGTTTCACAACTGCCAACAGCAGAGCTCCAGGAGGATGGTGAGCAGGCAAGTGAGAGCAAACACTGTTTGCTGTAATCTTAGCCCATTAGAATATAGTCTTGTAATTTCCTCCTTTTCTGATTTCAGTTCTTAAAAAAAAAAGAAAATCAAGAAAATAAAAGGGTTAGTGAGTGAAATATGTAAATTTTAAAACATAAGGATTTTCAACATACTTTGAAAGTCCTCCGACATCTCACAGGTACTTAAGTTAAAGGTATCAGCTGTTAAAGCCAATCAAAGAGGCTATTCTCAGGGGAGAGATGTGAATAGATGTCCCATCAATGATCGTTTGAGGAGCAACTGATAGCACTTATCAGCTCTTGCAGGCATTAATCTCAGAATAATCAAAAGTAAATACCAAGCAAAAGCAAGAGCAAGATCTTCACAAGAGGTATGCACTCAAGTCTGCATGTAGCCTTTTAACCCTTCCTTTAACAAGAAGGGGCTTCATTTATTAGCACAACAGAAAGCCATACCCTCACGCATGTGAAAGCCACTGAGTCCCTGCTCAGATGATTCTCCACTGCCACCTTTATTGCGTTTGTTAAGCTGAGCTCAAGAGTAGGAAGCAGTAGACTGCTTCTACTGAGCATAGTGAGGTCTGATAGGTCTTTTGCTCCTGTAATGGGAAACAATAAGGCTGATTCAAAGGTGAACACCCAAGGGAACTTAAGCATTTAACTCTTCTGAAGAGTTTAACAAGTTGGGTGCCACACATAATTAGTCAATACAGAAGACTTCAAGGCAAAAGTGGTTTTGGTGGGGTTTGTGGTGTTTTTTTTTTCTTTGTTTGTTTTGGGTTTCTTTTTTTCTGTGCTTACAAAGATAGGAATGTCACCTTTCTTTTGTATTTCACTTCTTTGGACTTTTGGACTTGTGGGCTTACCACAAAGTAGGGCATATCCTGGGGTCCTAAGAGGCTCAAGTTTTGGAATTTGTATTTACTTCTGAGTTGGTGGTATAACTCAGGAGTCACAGCTTCAGTGCACTGCTACTCAGATAGGAATCTGGTCGGAAGAGAAGAGGCTGGTAGTTCTTTGGGGTGCAAATGCATCTTGAAGCTATTTAGGTCTGTTGTTTTCTTACCCTGCTAACTAGTGATGTTGGCACAACTGAAGGAAAGTATGTTACAGCACAGGGTGGGATTGAGACATCATGGATGGAGAAGGGCAGGAATATTTTGCACTAACTTTGCCACTGGACATAAAATAATATTAAACTCTTATTAGTCATCTCAGAGTATTGAAAGTACTCTGGATATCAGTAGCCAGTTCTCCATGGAAAATAAGTTCCTGTAAAGCAATCCTTAAAGTTTTTATGCTAGCTGATACACCATTTTCAAAAATACTCAAACTTTTATACAGGGATTTTCACAGGCTGATGTATAAAGACTTGACTTAAAATAATATAGTGCTTTTGAGGAGACTGGGTGCTACTACTTTACACTGATCAGCACTATGGCTACCAATTTTTTTTGGAGTGTGCTCAGCCTTAGAACTCCGTACTAGGAGTAACAAGACTAACAAGAATATTTTGAAGATTAAGATGCAGATCTTAAAATAAGGTTCAGACTAGTTTTCTGCCATTTGTGTGTTAAGGAGCTTATGCAAGAACATGCAAGTTTTCAGTACTTGTTTCTCAGTGTAAAACTGGTTTCTACTTCTATCACACCAGCTTACGCTACTGGTTTTTCTCCTTCCTCATCTAAGAAACATTTTCGTATGCTTGCATGTAGTTTAGTTGTACAAATTGTCTAAGTGGGAAGTCATAGACATGTGCAGGTTTTGCAGAACAGAGAAATATTTAATCCCTGTAGTTTTCAATTAAAATGGGGGAAAGTTTCCTACTGCACAGGATTATAAAGATCTCAAAGTATTTTATGTGATGTACTAGACAGGCAACAGCAGTATTATTTACTGCCTCACTAGTGCATTCTCTGAAGCAAAGCAGGTCACTGCAGAAGTCTAAATAGAGCTTATACAGCATCCTCTGAGTACCCCACTTTTGCAGAAGGTAAATCTGTTACCCACAAGATAAAAATGGTTGATTTAATGCCATTCCTTACCACAGTTATCGTGCATTATTTCTGAGAGACAGTTCAGAGTACCATAGCCGCACCGACACAGCCAACAGCCCTTCAGCACCCAGGCGCCATGGGCAATGCTGCCGCAGTTGCTGTCAAGGATAAGGGAGACATTTGGTACGTCCCTGATCCCACCACAGAAAATAACCATCCAGAGCAGCTTGCTTACTTACTCTCTCCGGTTTTGGTCTGGTTTTTACCTTTGCCGCTCATCGTGTTCACAGTATCTGCCAGTGAAATGCTTTAGACAGGCACAGAAAGCCCCTAGGATACAGGTCCCTCCGTTTTGGCAGCAGTGTCTGTTCAGTTTTTTACCTGCAGGAAAATATTACAGAAGTTACCAAGCGTCCTGGGGGCTCCGAACCTCCCCTTTTCCTCACTTGTTCTCTCATGTCTCTCCAGTTGCCAAAGGATCTTAAGGATATCTAGTTTTATTGTCTTTAGAGACAATAAAATTATCTGCCTGTTAGGAGTGTTTGTTCAGTTAAGCCCGGTTTGTTTAGTTAAGGCTTAGAAGCAAACTACTAGGGATTACAGGATGGTCCAGAAGCAACGCCTGGCAAGTGCCGTAGCAGCAGCAGCATATATTCAAGTGAAATATTTCACTTTGATGGAGGCAGGTTTCAGTCACACTAAGAAATGAGGCATTGTTACCGGGAAACGGTGCTTATTTTTGAGGAAAGGAGGCTTTGTTACTGGGAAGAGTAGCTTAGTTTTGGGAGGGGAACACTCCCTTCAAAGTCTTTCTCAGACTCCTGGGATTGAGTACCAGTCCAAGATTTTATACATGTGCAAGGAAACATAACTCTGCCCTTGTTTTTTTCCGTTAGTACTGTTGCTTTCAGAGAGCTCTATTATTTTTTTTTAATTAAATAATTTTTGGTTATGAAGTATGGTTAAGTTTAAAAAATTAACAGAATTTTACAAAATTTGACAAACACTTTTGCAAAACCAAGGGACAAATCCCTTCTTAATTTCTAGTATCCTTCCCTGTTTTCCATTACCAGCTTTTGCAGATAAGAGATCCCTGGTTCTACCTTAAATTTTTATCACCATTTCTTAAGTGGCCATGGGTATAATTTAAATGAACTGCCACAGAAAACCAACCAACTGGAATCTTCCAGGACAACAGTCAAAGTTGTCAAAACATTACTGTGATATAATATTTTAAAAAGCAATTTTATGGCATTGTTTAAATAAATAATGTTACCTACTCTCTGTAATCCCAGTGAAAGGTACCAATGCCCTGGAATTTTGTTGCTTTCTGCTTTCATAACTCTGATTCATGTCACTGAGGGCATTTATAATAGTCCCTTCGTTCTTGGGCTGTTGCTTTTGTGCTGTGGCATTGAGACTTTTCACATCTTCATGTTCTTCTTTTTCACGGCCTTAACAAGAAGTGCAAATACAGAAGAGAAGGGTAGCTTGTAATGAAGTAATGCATACTGTAAATGTAGAAGAGAAACACGGGAAGGGGGGGGGGGGGGGGGGGGAGAAAAGGGGGGGGGGGGGGGTTGGGGCGGTGGGAAACACGAAATTTTCCTTACCTTTTCCTAAATGAACAGCCTGCCAGACCAGAGTCACAGTGAAAAGAATTCTACAAAAAACAAAGAGCTGAAATAAATTTGTGCTAATAAGACACAAACACCAAAACGAGGATGGAGGTGAGGGAGGCGCTTTTTCAAAGCTTTATCAGCCATTGGTAATATAAACTATAAATATTTCATGCCAGCAATAATTCGAATTAACACATTAAAAATCTCAAATTAAGCTTGAAAATTGGTGGTGGGGTGAGGCGAGCAGAGAACAGGGCCATACAGATTAGGCTTGTTTCCAGAAAGCTACGGATTCCATACATTTGCTGGTTGACAACCAGTCAAAAATATCTCTTTCTGTACATTTCTTTACCACAACTAGATTGTTGCCAGTAGTTACAAAAGCAGCAAAGGCAAGAGGAAAACACTAGCCTTCACTTCACCCGCAGTTCCAGGTACATTTGTTCCTTTCAGCTTCCTGGCCTGATTATCAACCAAAAAAAGCACTGCCAAAAGGAAAAGCATCCTTGATAGAGAAGGTCCCTGGCAGCTCAGGCAGCCTTACCTAACATGATTTCCCCAGTACATTTTCCTGCAGCCTGAAATACCCGTGAGATCCTCCAGGAAAACTTGAGCAGAAGGAAGAGATCCAAAGCCCCTCACTGAAGGCTGTTGCATGCAGCAGTCCTCACACCATACACGGCAACAAGAGAAGGAGAAAGGAGGATGGATGAAGTTTTTCTCTTTCTGTCCAGCTTATAAAAACGTCGAAAAGACATAGTTCCCAGTTGTACCGCTGGCTGAGCCCTCACTGAGGTCCTGGCAGGCAGGGACCATCTCTCCGAGCTAGGACTCCCTGGACTGCTCCCGATTTACATGCACTGCTGAAGGGTGGAGCAAAGTGGGGGCACCTAGTGCTGGGGGGAGACTTAAGGGCCCATGACCACAAAAAAGCCCAAGCCAGGAAGATCTCAGCTCCAGTTTATTTCTTAACATAAAAAACCTTGTACCACCATATACTGCATGGGGAAGAAAAAACTGTTCTGCAGAACTGCAATAGGTATATAACAAACTGCAGCAGGTATATAATGAAGGTTAAAAAGCCTCTACCTACACGCCTTGTCTCTACCAGGATTTTCCACAGGGGGCTCTACTTTATGAAATTGTACCACTTTGCAGCACAGATAATCCTTACAGCCTGCATTAGAGATTTCTACCAAAAGCACTACAGAAAGCAGCATAAAGTTCTTGACAGTAGTTTGTTGTCTCACACGAGCTGTTAATAAACTCATGAAATACCTTTTGAAACTTTTTTACTATTAGTAAAATTAGACCCATTAGTGAGTATTCCTAGTCTGAGTCCATGCAATATCAGCAGATACCTAGATTTAACTCACCATGTGTGCTGAAATGGGCTAGGACCACTCACACAACTTTACTATGGCTTAGCAGCATCAGCAAAAAGACCTGCAGCTGGACAGTGGTAAAAAAGCAGCTCTGGGCAGTCTTTTCTCAAATGGCTCTACCTGTACCCAGAGTGCACATGGCCTTTACCTAAGTTGTAACAGGAAACTGCAGCAGTACAGCTTTGTTTTGTTTTGGGGGGGCAGGTGGAAGAGGGAAGCTTTCACTATGCCAGTGCAAATCAAGCTAGTACAAATTGCACCTTGGCTAGATATACGATCACATCAGACATATGGGTTAGACCTTCACTGAAGAAATGGCTGTAATGGTTAAAGACATTGTCATCTCTTGTTGTTTATAACTCCCTGTGGCTGACACTTGTCAGTTTTGCCCCATCAAAAAAGCTAATGGTTTGGAAGCTGTGAACACCCCTCATCCAATTTGGTACAAAGGCTGGCTTAATTTACAAAGAGAGCTGTCCGGATTAAGTCAACCCACTTGGCACTGAAGCAGATGGAGATTGTTCTGAGGACATGTTCTTTCATGTCTCCTGTGGGGACACTGATCTCTGGGACACTGATCTCCGACAAGAGGGTAGAAGTGCATGGCTGGAGGTATAAAATGGCTGTTTCTGCAGGGAAAGCTTGCATGGTGTGCTCTGCTGGGCTACATCAATCTTAGTGGATAAGGCATTTCCAGTGCTGGTACAACTGTTGACTCCAATTGATCTAAACTCAATTGTTTTCTTGTAGGCTAACTTCTTTAGCTTCATGGTAACTTGTTTCATGTTGTGTTTTATGTTTGTTACTAATTTAAACTGATTTAGATGAAGCTATTCTTGGATTCCAGACTGCTAGTGAGGTACTCTGTCTTTTGCAATTGAGAGTCTGTGATGTACGTTTATGTGTAATTCAGCTCAATCAGCACTAGAAGAACTTATATGCTAATACTTGTAGGTAAGATATTTAATAGAAAGAATGTTATGATAAAAATCACAACATGTTAATTCAGGAAGGGATTTTTTTTCCCTATCTTAAATAGTAACAATTTTGAAGAGACAGATTACTCTCACCACTATGCTGTTTGCCTCTACCTGCTGCGATTCACAAGAACTTCTAAACTAAACACGTTAAGGTTTAGGTACTTGCTTAAAACCTGTCACATGTGTTCAAGTACTGGTGTGACAACAGATGCTGTTCTGAATTAGGACTGTAAGATGTTTCACACAAAATGAAAGGGATGCCATTTTTGCATGTATTCACAAAACATGTATGTTTGTTTTATAAACATATGAAAATGTTTACTTGTGGAAAATACAATCCAAACAACTCTTGCTTTCATTTGAGTTCTCTAGCTGTATAACTGGGTTAGTAATTTGAGTTTAAAAAGAACAGCTGTAGTTACATTTGTTCGCTGTTTTTTGTTACTATATTAGGAACAAAATATTCATTTTCAATTTGGTCTAACTGGTAGTATCACTTTAGGTTACAGTATTCAGATGCTGAAATGCCATCATTTAGCATCTAGTTTGTTGGTTTTCCCCTTCCCATAGATCGAAGGCAGAAAAAATAAACAGAGATAAATAAACACAGGAACATCACACTTACTGTTTTTTTTACTAAATGCAGTGTCAATATAGTTCTCCCGGAGAGCTTTTCTGGGTATCAGATTCCCAGCCCTATACTGGAGGTAACTTTCAAAATGGGGATGCTGGTAAAGAAATATTGATCAATTTTCACACCTGTGCCATTTGCTTAAATCAGAAGTCATCCCTGTAACTGCAAGAGCTAACAACCTGGGGAACTGTAAAACAGTTGGTAAACATTTCTCACTGTGATACCTTGTTTCTTCCTTCTTTCTCCCTACAGCCTCACCAGCAAGGCACACACAGGAATGGGAACAACGTAAATTGCTCAAGTGCTGCTGTTGCCTGCCTGCCCTATAGAGGTGAGATTGGTGTGATGCTGCGGAAAAGCGCTGCTGTTTGCTGTTGACAGAATCTGCCAGAAAGTGATTGCTTCTGCCCAGGGATTTGTGAGGAGCTGCAGTAAGGGTAGATGCACCCCTTTTATCAGCTTCAAGTAAGATAAGAGTGGAGCCAACCAAAGAGCTGGTCCTGAGCATTTAAGTTAAACCCTGTGTACACAGGAGATGGTTAACTGTGGTTAGGGGCTTTCAGTGCTGTTAGTTCCAACAGCAGGTCAAGTAGCCTATATGGATAAGGGTGGTAGGAAAACATCGTGTTGCTTTATTAGTCCACATAACCCCTCTTGTACTCATCCAGGGAACTATTCGCACTGTTTCTTTCGGCACTGTTTCCTAACGTGCAAGTGGACCACTACACTGAAAGATGAAGTATGGATAATATGTGCTATTTTTTAATATTAGTGTTCCATAAAAGCTGTATTCCTGTGCAGGTACTCAGAATTTCTGAGAGCTTCAGGATCAATAGATGCCTAAGGATTGGAGGTAGCAATGGAAAAAAAAAAAGAAACAAGGATGAGGAAAATGTGGGTGTTCCTGGCTTCCTGGGAGCTGTGCTGAAAAGCCTGCTCAGGGGTATGCAAAGTTCAATGATGGCCAGTGCAGCCAAAGTGCTTACGAGAAAGATTTAGGTTCCCAAATTCCAGCTTAGGACTTGGGCCAGATCCCTAACCAGATTGGGCAATGTTAAATCAGTTATGCAGAATATCATGGAAGACAATGGAAAGCAATTACGCCCCTGGACATTTATTGAAATCTTGGGAATAGTGACTTCCATGAAGCAAAGCTGTCAGCCTGGGTGACTTACAGTTCTTTGAGGAAAGGGCAGACCCCAGGCAGTCTAGGCTGGGACCTCTCAGAGTGTGCTTAACTCATTAAATGGTAAGGGTCCTGGATGGAAAGACCTAATACTAGCCAGCCTGAGATTTGTATTTTTATTTGTTTATTTTTTGTTGGCTACAGCTGCTACTAGGATTTCTGACAGCTACCCAGGTGTTCTTGCTTTCTAAAGGCTATGTAAAACTTAAACACAGTCAGACTGAATGATTTTTATGGTGTCACAGAACTTTCTCGACAGGGGCTGGTCAGACCAGCTCTTATTACTGTCAGGAATTTCCTGTAGGATCATGTAGGGGTTGCTGTTGTTGCCTCTTCATCTCTGTGTATGTATGAAGCAAAGATCGTACACAGGCACAAAAGCTTGCACTGGTTCCAATGAGCAGTTTAAATGCCCTGAGCAGCTTTTTTCACTCCAGGTTAAGGATGGCTTATATTGGTTTAGTTGGAATTTACCACTAACTGACTTGAAGAAGAAGTAAGAAGATAAGATAATCCATATAGTAAATGGCACCAGCTTAATGAATGCCACAGGTCCGTGGTCAACTTAAGCAAGCTAAACGGCTGCTGCTGCTAAAAGGATGAGTCCCCCTCTGTCTTACACCATGGGCTATTTGTTTGTACTGCCTCCCTCACGCTGCCATTACTGTTTGTGCAACCGTGAGTGAGCTGGAGCAGGGACTTTATCTGAACAAAAACTCAGCTGGCAAAAAAAAAAAAAGGTTAGTTTTCAGCTGGATCAGTTCCCTGATGTGGTTTGCTACATGAGCACTAGTGCTGGCAGAAGCAGGAGGCAGGGATAAGCAGCCATGGCCGTGTGACAGTCAGCCCCTTTTTGTAGCAGAGCTGATTTATACCAGCTTAAATTGACTGTGGAATTTGTAAATAGATTTCAGTTCATAAATTTAAACTGGTGTTCCCTTCCCTAGGAAATAAACCACAGCCAATATATCTACATGATAAAGATACCATCTTCTATGCTCTCATCCTATTAGCTCTGACTTATACAGAGGAGTAAAGCAGTCATCCCGCATCTCTCTGACAACATATGGATGAAGGTTAGTACAAACAAGATGGGAGTGATATTACCAAATGAAAGGAAACAGCTACAACAGTCCCTTGGAGAGGGAACCTTATGCAGATGTCGTACAAAGATGTAATGCTCTGTCACAGACTGACATAAATTTATGGAATAAAACCAGCGTCATAACAGAGCATCCTATAGGTTTTCCTTCTACTGAGTCTAACCGTTAGTCATTAAACATGATGAAAAAAATCAATATGATAATGAAAGGCTTTTCTAATGAAAATGAATGTAGTTTATGTCTTTTGTGTACAGAAAAAAAAAAAAAAATTCTGCCAGT